TAATCAGAACTGTTTTCCATGGCAACATCAAATTACGAGTTGACTGCTGCCCAGTGGAGAATCCTCTGACCTTAGAAAAAAGAAGATAGAAAAAGAAAGAAGTAAAAGATACCCCTCAGAGGTTGAACTGCAGTTCCTCTGCAGTTGTGCTTTTGTACTCCTTCCAAATTCCTGGGGGGGAAAGTGATGACAGGACACAGCAATCTGTAACAGCAGCTCATTTAAACACACCAACCTGAAAAAACAGCTTTTCCTTAAACATACCATGCTAACTTGGAAATTTTGGTCTGTAGTCCTCTACCTTATTACCATGGCATAGGAACTAAAATTATTGCTAAGGGCTATTACAACATGTAAACATTTCACACTATTTCATCTACCTTCTGAGGAGGAAGATAATTTCCCCTAAGAGACAAATGTGTTTGTATCATTATTATTCAGTCAGATGTGGACTGCTGTTATCCCCAGCAACAAGGAAGACTCCTTTATGAGGCTGCAAATAACATACCCACTGAGGAAATTTTCAGGTTTTGGTCTGACCTTTCTGAATTCATCTGATTGGTTTCTCCTTGAAAATGAGCTTAAAAAAATCTATTATCAATTATGTTCTCTCACCACTCCTTTTAATGTAAGGAGACAGAGGAAACATCACAAGCTACATTACTTAAGTCATGATGGAGAGCTTTGCCCTTTCAGAAGTTAGAAATCCAATTATTCAGAAAATATTTTGACTGGCCATAATTTTTCCTGCCATCATCAAAGCAGGACTTATCTGATCCTGTTTTTGCCTACTAAGGAAATCCTGGGTATAAGATGAGCACCCAGAGTTTCTGCCTCTCCCTTTTGGGCAAGAAATTCCCCACCCATGAATTACAGGGAAGTGGAAAGGGAATGCTAAATTCTGTGGCCTAAAGTAAGGTTGCTGGTAAACTGTAGCTATGTATTGCTTCAGTTTTACTTCAGGTGTTGAAGTGGCTGGTTCCAGTTCCGTAAGCTTCCAGTGAGAAGAAATGAGACTGAAGTGTCTTCATTCAAATTAATCTACAAAGGAAGTTGTTCCCTTTTTCCACACGTATTACTAAATGCCTCAAGAGACACACCAAGTTAAGGAGTAAAGCAGGAAATATTTTTTTTTTTGTCTCTGGGTGTTATTCCCTAAAGAGATACAAGTTGCTTCTTTGACACGGAATAAAATTTAGGGGACACTATCCTGAAAGGTGAAACATAGCCTCAGGATACCGCTAAAAATCAGACATTCAGGTTAATCTCATTGTGACTCAGAGGTCAGCATTTCCCTAAACACACAGACACACTGTGGTAGGGTGGCTGGCACATGTGCTACTGTGGAGGCTAAAAACAGGAGGGAACTCCAGGTCATGGCAGCAGAAGTTCTACTGTAAATAAATGATCCATAAAAGGAAGAGTAACCTAATTCTAAAAAGGTACAGGGTGGAGAGAATCTGGTTTTTATTTTATCTAGAGGAGCAAGCAGTTCAGTAAATTCCTACCTACTGCATAAGAAGGGAATAGCTTGAACCAAGTTTGAAGGTGAAGCTAAGGAAGAAGGAACACATACTTGAAACAAGTTTTACTAAACATATAACCTGGATAATCGATTTGGAACCTTCAAGAGTATCAGCTGGAAGCAACCAAGGTAATAAACATCTACCCTCTAAATTGTCATTCCTAAAATATATGCTTGGCACAAAAAGGGCCGAATACTGCATTTAAGCCTTCTTGCGCCGGAGTAACAGCTGCAGGCTTTTCAGAGCTCTTTTAACACAGCCTGCCAAGAAATAATATGATCATTGATTTTATGAACCGATAAGAGTGAAGGAATTTGTCTTAGAGGACAGGTGCTTCAATCCATGAACCTATCAATTCATCAATGCTTTGTAAGACCCTGTATCTTTTATTGTTTCTCCAAAGCAAAGTGACAACAGAATGTTCAAATACTATAAATGCTTATTCTTAGAATAACACCAAGAAGTTTCAATCTTCCTTTCTGTGAAATTTTAATCTGAATCAAAGAAAGGCATGAAACTTTGATTTAATATGAAATTTGACTTTTTTTTTCTAGCCATGGGCTTAGTTGTCAGGAAAATACTGTTAAGGTGAAAAACAACAGATAATTGCAAAAAGATTTGCTTCTCCTCCACGTGTGATTGACATACAGCCAAAAGCATCACCAAGGAAAAGAGTCCTTGTATTCAGAAAGACAACTGAACAACAAGTCAAATAAGGAACTTCCAGACACAGCATAGTCAGTGAATGCTCACCACTGCACTTTCATAAAAAACACACTAATCTGTAAGAAATCATACCATCCAGTAGTTTGCCTGCAGCAAAGCTTGCTTCTCCCCTAACTAGGAGCCCAAAACATTTTTAGTGTCTCTGAGGACAAAGAACTATTCAGATGGGACAAAGAAATTTAGGCACTATTTCTTTTAAAAATGGATTCTCTGTTCTTTATCCTTCATGTATTTGCACATCGATACTGTGTTCATCTGTATGTGGAGGGGGAAAACAGGTACCACAGCTTCAAAGAGCTCACAAATTTCTCACATCAGAGAAGTAAAACTCCATGGGCAGTTTCTAATAATTCCTGAAGTCTCTGGAAGACCTACTACTATTATTACAAACAGCAGGTAGGAGAGGAAAGCTCTCAAATTCAGGATGCAAAGCAGAGAAGATACAGCTGCCAAGTGAAGGTTGGCTGAAGGACTCAAATTCTTCAGTTCTCAAGATGCACCAGCAGAAATAAATGCAGTCTTATCTTTACTGCATGAGATTTTCTGGCGGTTGGTTTTGTGAAACCCAGATATTCCTGTATCTAAAGAGTTGTTAATTAAAACAGCAGAAAGCCACAGAAAGGCTAGGGGTTTGAAATATTTTTAAGAGGCTGCATTATTTTAAGCAGAACCCAACTCCAGAAATGAGGCTGGAGAAATGAGTGGAGGAGGAAATGGATCCATGATATCTACAGATTACTTGGTGCTAAGAGCAATCCTAGTTATCATTCTCAGCCCTAAATGGCATACCTCTGGTGTGATATTAGGTGGTAAATCTGGGAAACCATAACAATGGCTTGATGGACCTATAGTAGTTTCACTTGAAAGGATGAAACACCACTTATTACCACTTTTTCTCCTAACTTAGATTCAAGCTCCTTGTGCCTTTGCATCTCATCAGTAGCCACCCTTTAGCTTCTATTCTTCACGAGCTTGAAAAATCTCAAAAGTGGCACAGCACACAAGAAAGATGTTGTTTTTTATCTTGGTGCAGAATATGTCAGTGGTGTAGCGGCCCCTGTTTCAGGTAGGACTTGCTTCTACAACCATCTTCCCATACATGTCAACCACAGATGTTCTACTATTAATATACATAATCAACTTGATATCCCAAGGAGTGCATAGATTTCACCAATGCATATTACATCAGGTACCAGTAACAATCTTTCTTTATTCAAAAGCAAGTGACCAAGAGTTTGTCTCCAGTGAAACTGTAATCATGAATGCACACTCAACAGAAACAATGTAGGTGAAAGACACCTAAAATTAGAAAAGATTTATCACATTTTAAGACTGTAAACAAATTTCACTGTGACTGGGGCTATGAATATTAACATCCTTTGCAAGAGGTGTTATCTGCCAGGGACAGTTTTCTCTGCCTTTCTCACAAATAAATTTAGAATTTAGAGAATCTTTCAAAAATTAGACTTAGAACACAGAAGTTGCAAGTGAATTGATTTTGTTTGCTATGTTTTGCTAATTGGTAGTGTTTGCTGTATTCTACTTAATCCACAATTAGAATATCCTCTCCAGACATTAGATGTTTATAAATTTCTCCTGATAATATGCAGCCAGTCCTTCAAAACAAGACACCTGCTGGAAATTGCATCTCAAAAGTTACTTTTAGTCTTAAATGTCATGTTTGCAATAGGTTGCAGAAAATAGACACACAGACAATAACAAAGTAAGAATAGTCATTAAATCACTTCTCTGGAGAGAAAGGTCTATTATACTAATTAAATACATAAACTATTAGAGCTTCTAGCTGAAGTCTAATGATCCTCCCATCAGTCAACGTTACAAATTAGAAATCTTTACACACGGCAATAAAGATGCTACTGTTTCAGTACAAAAGCAGCATGTAAAGCCTCATCAAGTTTTCCACCAGGGAACCTTCTAAAAATCTCAAGTAATAAAGCAATTAGCTATACATCTTGATTTTAGAGATCCCCTCAACAATGAACCTTCTCTCTCCTTCAGCCCAGAGCGTTTTGACCTCCCAGGAAAGTATCTCCCCAGAGCCTGCAGAAATCCTCCACTGCCTGACTTCTAAGCTCACATAGTGCCACTGACACCTTGAATTGAGCATGACTGGCATAAGTCAGAGAAACAGTTCTGTTTGAGATCATCTTTTTTTTTTTTAATCTTCTTTGACTAAAAGCTTTCCTGAATCCAATATCACTCACAATATTTTATCATATACTGTAAAAAACATTCACAGTATCCACAGTCTCAATACACTCCCAGAAAAAGCAGATATACAGTCCCTTGCCTGCTCTACCTTCCCATTACACACATTAGGGATTGGCGCTTCAAATACTTTAGGCTTAAATTCCGATTTTAAAATCTGTAGGATGGTAAAAAAATATGCAATATGTCTTTAAGACATGTTCCAAATGTAAATATAACTAGTTCTTACAAACTGGTATTTCCAAGGTTATACAGTAACGTGTATTGACAATTTTTGTCTGCAATTTTGTATAATACGTATTGATTCTGAAGGTTAAACATATAAATTCTGCATAAGCATCAAATTCTCAAGCACAATCCAATTACAAATTAAGTGTTCCACTACCTCAGAGCTTAGGAAAGAAGAAAAAACTGTACTCTGAAGACTCTCAAATCTAGGTACAAGATGGCACAGGCAATATGAAAACTGTTTGGTTCCTTGCTATTGCAACATAGCCAAAAATTATTTGAGTCACTTACTATTTTCCAAGCAGAATCTTGGAGAGATCCTGTTCAAAAGAAGTTCCTGGCGTAATCGAAGAACTTCAGCTTCCAGCACTTCCACCTTCCATTTCCATCCAAAATTTTGTTCGGATACAGTTTTGGCAAGGTACTCGGTGTATTCTTTGGAACTCTTCCCTGGCGGTTTTGAGTGGATAATTGCAAAAGCCAATGCTAGTTTTGATATTTTTAAATACCAGATTTGATTTTCTCTTCCGTCTTTGATTTCTATTGCATTAAAAAAACAGAAAACAAAAAGGTTACTTCACTATGACTCCATTAAGGAAATTACGCACAATATTTTCTTGGCTTTGAAAACTGTTCAACAGTGAGACCAATTCTTTCATTTCTAGTGCATTCCTAAATCATCAAGGAGAACAGAAATACAAGCATCTGTGCACAATGTGAGAACAGAAAATGCATGAGCTGCACTCAGCTATAAAAATAAAATTCAGCCAGTGTTTGAGAATAACTGTGGAAATAGTAAGTACTTCAAATAGGCTCATCCTAGCAAAATATTCAATGCAAATGTTATCTCCACTTAAACAAGGATGAAAAAAGTAAAAATACTAACCTCACAAAACCCACCCTGACACTCGCTCCCTCCCAAAAGAATTCTAAACCCATGACAGAAGAATTCATTTGGGGTTATTTAAACTTAAATAAAATATATATAATTTCTTGAAAGTGTAACAAAGTGTCCCAATGCTTAAAAGATAAAACTTTGAGGATGTCTCTGGTTTTAGACATCTGGTATTGATACCCTTGAAGTTTTAAGTATACATTAAGCCTCAAGCCTGCAGAAAGCTAAGCAGACAGCTTCAAAGTGATCTAAGTGGCTAGTAAGGTAAGCGAAGAAGACAGTTTTATAAGCTTGGTTACAAACAGTGAGGATGGGGCAAAAGACATTTTAAGAGTCAGAGAAACAAAATATTTACATAGATGATTACATCATGTGCAACAGCAAAGGGCCTAGGAGCAGAGAAGGAAAAAATGAAATTAAAACCAACGATTATTAACCAGCCTATCTAATTAGCAAAGTTACTTTTTTTCTGAATTCCACATCATTTAATTCAGTTGTTTGATGTACCCTTTTCCTTTTCCCAAAATAATAATTTAAGAAAAAAAATCACTTCCTACGCCTTTGATCTGACTTGCCATCTACAATTCTTTCACAATGCTGTTTTTCTCTTGTTATCCATTAAAACTGCACATTAAGCACTGATTAGTTGCGTTGAGCAGCTCTGAAATAGTCACAGCACAGGTTTGGAACAGGTATTTTACATCATCCTTTCACCAGATCATCTGCTATCGGTAAGCTGATTTCTTCCTCTGGTTCTACTCGACTTTGGATAGTAAGTCATAAATCATCATGTATTCATTTATCCATCAGGGATACTTACAGAAGGCACTGCTTTTTAAGTATTTCTTTCATCTTTCAAATAGTTCTGAAATGCACAAACAATCCCTGTGCACTCCTTGCACACTGTCCATTCAGATACAGCAGCCAGTTAACACTTTACATAGTACAGAGCACAAAAGACAAGAGTGCAAAAATTCCTTGGGATCTGTTTACCTACAGCTATATTTTAAGCTACTCTTCTCCATTTGAAACATTCCATTCCTGTCATGTGTCAGGGCAAAATCACCTAATCTAAGCCACCAGTGCATTCTTAAATCTAATTAAATAGTAAGCCTTTAAAAGCTGAATCATACTATATATATCCCTTACTTAAAGCAGTTATACATTAAATGGTACTTTTGCAAAACTTCTTATAAAGAAAGCCTATTTCACACAACTTTTCAATTCATATCTAGAATTTCAGTGAAAAACAGAAGTTGAGTGTCTCAGTCTTAAAGGATTGCACCTCAGTGGGATAGCTAACTGGTGTAAGACTTTTGCTTGCCTTATACATCAAAGGAAATGTTTACAAATACAAAAGCATGCAAGTAATTGAACTGCCTTCAAAGCTGTGAATAAAATGAAATATGTGGAACTACACTGAAAGAAGATTAAACAGTAACAGTAAGGTATCCAAAATATTTGGCTTTGAATCTGAAAGGTGCTTCCCAGATTATCTCATCAATAGAAATTTCATCCAGGTATTACTCAAACAGTGTCTGTCAAGCTTCATTCTTTACAAAGTCCCTGTGCAGAGCAGAACCATAAATTAGGGCAGGCACAAAAATGCCTTACACTGCTCATTTAATATTTTGGTACCTCCAGAGACTACTCTCCCAAAGCTTTCTGAGTCATCTTCTTTTTAAGGACAAACACATATTTACTTTCCGCTTCATAACATGCTTTTTCAATATTAGTATTTTCCTTTAAATTACATTCACAGAAGTTGCAAAATTACCAACATTCCAGTATGGGCCAGGGAGTGGCATTTATTCCAGCATTTCATGAATGCTTAGGTGCCTTTTATCATCAGAGTCACCACCAAAACCTTATTTACTGTATTCTATTTCTCCTTACAGGACATATTATTACAAGGAAAATACAATGCAAATACAAAGAAAACACAAAGAAATACAAAGTTTGCTATCTGACCACTGACACATTACCTCTATGCTACTAGTGTGAAATGCTACTTTGGTAGCATTTTTTGATCACCCATTACCCAAATAAAGAGTCACTTTTTCATTTTGTTTCAAAAGGGATTACTGTGTTTTAAGCATAAAAAAACCCCACCCTTAGTGAACAAGGTAACAGTGCAATGGAGACACGTAAAAGGATCTTTCAGCCAAAACATTCCAAAATGCTATATCCTGAAGTAGATATATCCCTAGTAAGTCACATAAACCACATAAACCATTACCTAATTTTGCTTTGAGAATCTTGATTAGCATTCCACCTTAACACTTAAGACACACATTCAATTAATGAATTAGCGCAATTTGGAGCTAGAGGGAGGCCTTTTCCTCTTTAATATCTTATACAGACTCACCTCTACAGTAGGAATGAACCTGAGTTTAGGGAGATATTCTTACTCTGGAGGAAAAAAATCACTCCTTTTCTGGAAAAATTACTTGTAAACATGCTGTTAGGAAAAAAAAACCCAACAGCAGGACAGATCACAGAATACAGCTGGTTCTTATTAGGAACAAGACATAGTGCAGTTTTTGGAGAAATCATTCTGTTGGAATCACAAAATCTCTTGTTTAAAAACAGATCATTAATGACAAATTATAAATGCAATATTCCTGCATGCATTTCCAGAAAGAATGGATTTCTCGAAGACTTTATGGAGAATATACACCTCTTTCACTTGCTTTCTGTTACTATCACCATCTATCTTCATTTCTTTTCTGATTAGGAAAAGAGAGGTTTCTGTATTGAAAAGCAGAAGTTCTAAGAGTTGACTGAGGTTTTTCACCATTCTCCTAAAGGGACAACTGCTCTCTCAGAAACTACTATGTAAGTCTTCTAGAAAATAACACACCGGATGACACTATTAGAAATATGGGGATGCTGGCCAACTGTGCATTAGCAAAAATTGCACAGCAATCTGTTGCTCTCAGGAAGTGCTGAACCACCAAATATATTCCACTGAAAGCATATTGGCAGCTACAGAGTTTTATCAATAATGTTTTTGCTCCTATCAGCACAGAAATTACACCACTGGTTGGACAGGAAAAAAAAGTTTTAGAACCAAACCAAAAGCTTTCCTTGATTGAGAATAGTACCCGACCCAGAGGATAAAGGCTGCTAATGCCAAATTATGTCTGACATAAAGAGTAAAATTCAAGAATTATCAAAAGCTCCATTCCTGTGATTGTTCAGTGTTAAGGACAGAACTAGTAATCCCTTGTAAACTCTGCTGGAAGCAGGGCTCAGCACCCTAACAACAGATACCACCTGGTGACTGGTTCCCTATGCAAACCCCTCAATCCACAAACTGATATTGGATAAACACTCAGAAGACACGATGGGTTAACAACACTGTCGAACAGGGCTAAGTCTACAGATTTCCAACACAAGAATGACATTCCATGCTTCCAGCTCTCATGCAGAGAGAGGGTACTGAGAACCCACAGACCTGCTGAGGTCCTAGCCATGGAAGACTGCTGAACAATTATTCACTTGCTGAAATAATTACAAAAGAAGCGATGATCTCTCCCACACAGCTTTGTGTAACATAATCAAGGGGAACTGAGATTTGGTGCAAGATCCACTGGAGACCTTTGATATAAGCAGGAAACAGGATAACAGAAAGAACCAGGATAAATCTGATTCATAAGCACTACCCTAATCCACCATCCTTTCAGGCTTGTTTTGCAGCTGCATTTGATGCAGCAGCTCATATGGAGAGATTGAAATGTTAAGGGGGCTAATGACTCAAAGAATTGGCCATTTGCAGAAGAAGGTGAATCCTCAACTCTAGAGCTTTTAAGAAGTTTTTCAGGGATGTTTATGGGTAAATGTTATATAATTTACTCTTCTGAGTGGTACATACAGCTTTCTCATTGACCTTGGAAACAGGTAAGTCAAGGAGAAATGGGGAGAAGGTAGTTAAGTTATGCTACGATTTAAAATGATAGGGTACCTCAAACCAAACCCAAAACTGAAACTCACTTGGAATAATTCTACGCTGGAGTAATACTCATTAATGTCAAAGAATTACAGACCATGGTGTGATTTCCAAGTTTAGCCACGAAATTCATGGCTAATAATGGAGGAAACTGCTGCAAATGTCATAGTAAAAACCTTATAGAATACATCAGGACACTCATTTGTTATTCAGAACACTATCATATGAATTTTAAAAGTAATTTAAAAAAATTAATAGCATAAGATACAAAATAGACTGTAATTCATAAAGCTTCCAGGCCATTCCAGGGCTTGGCTTTCTCCAAAAGTGAAATTTTTATTTAAAAATAACAGGATTTGTCAGGACAGAAACAAATTGCCATTCACCACTACTACAGAGCTAAGAATCTTCAGATAGCCCTATATATATATATATATATATATGTATATATATATATATATATAAAAAAAAAGCCTTTCCTTCTAGATTTAAAAGTATTTGAAAGCTACAAACATTCAAGGAAAAACTGTTTTGTTGCCATGATTCTTACTTTAACTAGTCTGTCAATTACACAGTAAAGGTGAAAAAATTTCCACATCTTTGTAACCTCATCTGCTTTATACAATAGAAACAAAGATATTGACTCTTTATGATGGAGCACAAAATGCTGCAATTGCTCTAGTGGAACTGGGCTGAGCTCAGACAAATAAGACCACAACATTAAGCAACAATAAAATAAACTTGATTTAATTGGTATGCCTAGCACAATGTCATTTGTGTATATAATAAACAATAATAATGGGACAGCTACATAATCAAGATGAAGTATGCCTTGTGTTCCAATTAAGCAGCTTTTATTGTAAAAATGTATATTAAACCAAGGCGACTCCACAGTGTCATCTCTAAACAATCTACGCTCATAATACACAAAGATATGCAATGTGGACATACTCAGTGTCAGAAGAACGCACTTTTCCTACAACAAGCCTAACAATAACTCCAGCATAGTTTTTTCAAATGGACTCAAAATGGTAAAACAATACTGAAAATAGTAAATATTTAAAATACTTTATGTCAAAAGTACAAGGAAACTTAAATGTAGCAGGATTTACTTCTTCAAACTCTAACTTTTAAATAATTTTAGCTTCTAAAATCAAATCTTATAAATTCTCCAAATCCAAATAACATGAATGAGTTGAAAAAAACATTTTAGAACTTACCAATGTTCCCCAATTATAACCATTTCAGAGAATTTAAGAACATAAGCAAGCATAATCCCTCAGGATTTCAGTAACATTTCTGACGTAGGATTTATCTCCCCTTAACTACAGAAACCTACAGTTTAGATGGCTACTGCTGAGCTAGCTGCCTAGACTTCTTTTATTATCAATGGGCAGAAACAGAGCTTTCTAATGTTAAAAATAAGCCAGGTCATTTGTACATTTTGTGGTAAAGTCGTGACCCAGAAACATTTGTTTCCCCCCATGGACTACAAAGAGCCGACTACATCAGATGCACACACATGTATTGTGGACAGCCAACTGCACTGAGATGAGCTCCTGCACCACAGGCAGCTAAAGCTGAGACCCTCAAAGGCCTATTTAAGGTATCTCACTAACAAGAGAAATTTTGCAAGGCTGACAACAGCACCCCTCAAAAGAAGTTTTTAGTTCTAGATCTGTTCGATATCTCTGGGGGAAAAAAAGCTTTCTAGAACAAACTCCAAAAGTCATGGAAAAAAGTTTGTGAAAATAACCTTGTGAACATATTACAGTGCACAAAATAGCAGACAGGTGCAAATTAAAGACATGAGAAACATCAAGTATGTTCAGAATCATATGAGCATAAAAAATCAGTTTGGCTCCTCAAACTTTCTTTGCCTCACTCTTCAACAAAATCGTTTGAAAATAATAATTGAAGCCTGAATTTTATGGTAGTTTAAGATTGTGTCTATATTCTCCCTACAAGCTGAGAGATCTTCCTTCTGCACTCCTTTTTCTCCTCCAAAAGGCCTTTTTAGTGTGTCACTCACAATAATAGATAATTAATCTGGCATACAGTACCATTACCATGTTTCTCTTTACTATTCTGACTACTAAAGACACGAATGTGTTTCCAGAATAGGGAATTTAGTCTCTAAAACCTGCTGTTCAGAAATTAAAGAGTAACTCAGTGGTGTAAATTTATCTATTCTTAGGTCAGTGCAGATTTCTTCCGCTACCAAAACAGAACTGTGCTCACTTAATCAGTTGGGTGTAAATCTGTTTGGTTTGGGAACTGAGTATATACTTTTTATTACAGCTTTATAAGATGAAATGTATGAAACCATGAAATTCAGACCCTTATTCTTTTACAAAGTTTTATATATGCTAATAATAATTACATAAGGAGTAAATTTACAGTTGGCATTAGGGACTGTGGAAAACAATCCCAGCCTTTATACATTGCCAAGTTACAAGAAGAAAACAGCCCTTGTCTCCTCAGTTTTACCTATTGCAATGACTGCATTAGCTTTTGAATGCAGAATTTCAAACCAGAGTTCAAAAAAAAGGCAATCATCAAGAGTTTGGAGGATTATATTAAGAATAATTTGCATATCTCCTCTTCCCATGTTAAAATATAGTGACTAAAATATCACCATAATTTCCTTTTCAGTTTCACACTTTCAGCCTTTACCTGAACAGTTCAGTTTCCTCAAGTTTGTAAAGCTACAAGATCAGTATCTTTCAGTGATACTGATTCATTCAGGTAACCTACCAGAATGCATCCATTGTCTTTTAAAAACATTGATTTGGGGTTTCTTACAGAAATTTAATATAGGAAGAAAGAAAGATGAGATCGTTCAGAAGAAAGGAAATGTTTGTAATAGAGGACAAGAGGAAATACTGCTAGGAATCCAGTACTCTAAAAACCATACAGCATGTGATAAAGAATGAATTCTTACATATACTATAGATACTAACGTAATTATTACCACATTCAAATAGGTAGTGTCTAAATATTAATTTATTAAGCACTGGAGGTTGTAAAAGACAGTGAACCACTGAAGAGACTTGCCAAGGATTCACAGCCAAGTCCATAGATAAGTACTTTTCTACACTTTGATTTGGCTCCATTACTAGTTTATTCAAATTAAGACAACATCTAAGCCACGCAGATGGAGCACCTCTCCTCTGAAGGCAAGTTGAGAGACTTGAGGTTGCTAAGCCTGGAGAAGAGAATGCTCCAGAATGCCTTTCAGCACCTAAGGGGTATTACAAGAAAGCTAAAGAGGGACTTTTATAAGAGTAAGACAAGAGGGAATGACTTTACACTGAAAGAAGGTGGATTTAGATAATGTATTAGGAAGAAATTTTTTACTGTGGAGGGTGATGAGACGTGCACAGATTGGAACAGATTTCCTGGAGAAGCTGTGGATGCAAGTTTTGGTTTTAGCTGGGACATTTTCTTCTTCATAGCTGGTACAAGGTGTAGGTTTTGGATTTAGTATGAGAATGATGTTGATAATATCCTGATGTTTTGACTGATGCTTTGTAGTGTTCACCCTAAGTAAAGGACTTTATAATGTCTCGTGCTCTGCTGCTGAGGAACTGCATTGAAAGCTGTGAGGTGAGCAAGGCCAGGACAGGTGACCCAAACTGGCCAAAGGAATATTGGGATCTCTGCTCAGAAAAAGGGCTGGGCATTGGTTATCAGGAGCTGAGCAACCATGTACATCACTTGTTTCTCTGGGGTTCTGACACTCTCTCTTCCTTTCCTTACCACAATTCTTCTTATTAATCATATTATTAGCATACTTAGTATCACTATTATAATTTTTTATTTAAATTATTATATTATTCTTATCTCAACTCATTAGGTGTACCTTTTCTTTATGACTATCCCTACTGGGGTGGGGAGAGTGAACCAAAGGCTGTGTGGCATTTAGTTGCCTGCTGGGATTAAACTCCATCCCTGGAATGGTTCAAGACCAGGATGGATAGGATTCTGAGCAACCTGGCCCAGTGGAAGGTGTCCCTGCCCATGGCAGGAAGGTTGGAACTACTTGATCTTTAAGGACCTAGAACTCCAGGCCGTCCTGTGATAATACAAAATTAATTATTACTTTCTTCCATCAGTCAATGAGAGAAATGCAAGTGGCTAAGCCCTAAGATTTCTGAATTCCTAAGGTCAGAGTGATGAGAAACTATAATTTCAATCCACTGACATAAGTAATAATCAGTTAAAATATTGATAACTTTGATAATTCTTAGATATTCTAGTATCGGTATATTCACAAAAGCTTTTTTTTTTAAGAGGAGCACTAACAACATTAATTGAATCCCAGCATCCATCCAACAAAACTTCACAACAATCGTGTTTTTTCCTGTGGCAGGTGAAAGGGACAGGAAAAAGCGTCATAATTGTAACTTTAAAAACAGGTACAAGTAATTAACAGCTGATATTCTTAATTATTAATAACGAAAGCAGCGCAACTTTCATAATGCTCCTGTTTCCTCCCAAATAAACCTTTCCTCAGGAAACCACTCTTTGATCACCAGAGGCCGCCCAGGTAAGGCCTCCAGCACGGAGACGGGGCAGGTGTCCCAGGGGAAGGAAGCAAAAGGTTGTTCCAGGGGAGCCAGGAGAACCAGGGTGCTGTCCGAGGCAGCCCCCAGACCCGCACCCCGGGACACAGGGCGGGACATGAGGGATGTCCCCAAAGGCCGCTGGCCCCGCGGGGTGAGGGCATGTCCCCGGCCGGCGCTCCCCTCTGGGAGCCCTCTGCGGCCTCCCTCCCTCACGGCCTCCCTCCCTCACGGCCTCCCGGAGGCCCTGGCAGCCTGGCGCTCCCACCCACCCGCAGCAGCGGCGGCCGCGCCGCGAGGGCCGCGCTCCTGCTCCATGGCCCGCGGCCGGAACGCGACCTCTCCGCCCGCGCTGGGGTCAGGCACAGCCCCGGCCCTGCGGCGCGGTGGGGGCAGCTCCTCGGTGCCGGCCCTTCGCTCCCACCCGTGTTTATCTGGGCCGAACGCGGCTGTTCCCTGCGGGAGTCGGTAGAGCCCGCGGGCCTCGCTTCCCGCTGCCGGGGCTGAGGTGAGGGGGCAGGGCGAAGGCCAGCTGACTGCACAGGCCGCCTCAGGCGGGAAGGTGCAGGAACGGGGAAGCCATGGAACCCCGCAGGAGACATCTGAAGGCCCTGGTGCTTCCGCCAGGGAAGGCAGGGAGCGGAGCTGTGGGCAAGCTTTTAGCGAGCGTGGCCTCCCTGTCGCAGCCCTGGAGTCCCGTCCCCCTGGGCCTGCTCAGGGTCAGGTGGCAAAACTCAGCATCACCCGGGTCACCCGAAACCACCTTCTCACGCTTTTACATTTCCTTTTGCTATAAATTGCATGAACGTCTCCCAAAGTGTTTTGCTGATTAACTTACGCCTCTTTAAGCTTTGCTTACCGAAAACATAGTCCCATGCTAGCCACTGTGCAGAAAATTAACTCTATCCCAGCCAAAACCAGCACAGTATCTTAAGAGTAAATGGGATCATGAAACTTCTGAACAGTGTTTCTTTAACACTGCATTGGAAATAGAAGCTGCCTTTAAGTGGAAACGCTGTGAGCCCAGCTCACCAGTTAAGAAATTTGTATTAAATATTTGTGTTCTCTACACAAACTGTGCTGAAAAGGCAGTGATAAGGCTTCTTGGCCAGAAATGGAGTCTACTGAGGCATAGAATCACAGAATCATTTTGGCTGAATAATACCTTTAAGATCATCAGTTCCAACCATTAATTCAGTACTTCCAAGTCCACCACTCAATCATGTCCCTCAGTGCCACATCTACATGTCTTAATTACTTTCTGGAATGGTGACTCCACCACTTCCTTGGGCAAGCTGTTCTAATGCTTGACAGCCTGAAGAAATTTTTCCTAATACTTGGTTGAGGAGGCTGAGGAGGAAGGACAGGAGAGATAAGAAATGAGTAATGAAGTCAGATGCATTAGGTGGAGTTAGGCTTATCACAATACATCAAGTTTTTAAGTGGGGGGGGGTTACTCTTTCTGAACACAGAAGTATTCAGATGTGACAATACACACTTTTAAAACCCTCATCCCCATTTCTTGGATAGTCTAAGCAGCATTATTTTTATGATGTTATTTTCTTCAAAAAACTTATTTTTTTATCAATATACACAGTAGAAAATTTCTGAGTAAATATGCATTTTATTATTATTATTTTGAAAGCTAACTACAGAAAACTGTTAACACATTGAAACTTTCATTTTAGACTTCAAATTATAAGAATAAATTAGACAGAGTAAGTTAGAGAGCATTTTCATTGTGACAGCACTACTTATTTTTCAGTGAAACACCATGGGAAAAAAACCCCAAAACATTCTCTAGTCTTCTGTTACAGTGACATATCAGCAGCTACACTATCATTTTCTGTGCATCTTTTGTGCATATAAGTGATGCAGATGCTTTGTAAACTGGACACTCATTATGTAGATTGGAACGTCCATGTTTCATATAATCTTTTCAGCTGTGACTGAAATAAAAGATTCAGAGACACCAGTGCTTTTACCTACAAAGCTGTCACCTGTATACAGAGAGATGAATCTTAAAAGTAGAATTAGTCAGGGGCAACATTATTACTGTTCTAAAAAAGAAAGTGGCTTTGCTTTTCTGAGAGTACCAATTTTGCTTGCAATTGTAGGCTTATTGAGATGCACCTAAAAATCTTGAGGCCTTCTACCATTAAGCAGCTGCCTGGAGGGATGTTTTTCACTTTATTGTTCTCTACTTAAACTACCTACGTAAGTTTAAAAAAAACCAAAACTGTATAAATTCAGTTTTAGATGCACAGTTCTCTTTAATTTTTTTTTTTTTTAATTTGGAGCTAGTAGGAATTACAAGGACTGTTTCTTAAACTTGCAAAGTTACTGTGCACAACTTTCAGAATACCAACCAAAGTACAACTTACTACAGTTTTTGGGTTTGCTCTTAAAATAAGTTGAAGCATCCAAATATTTTCAAGGTGGAAAAAAGCTGGCGCACTCCCACCATTAACAGAGCATCTCTAACAACTTTTTTATTCGTCTGAAAGCAGTAAAATCTGGGCACAATCAACTGCAGAATCTCTGAGATGTGTGTTCCTGTTCTATTGAAGACTACTTTTCAAAAATAATGTGTAGAACTTGCATTAACTTTATTCAGTGAGTATTCCCAGTGATTACATAGAATCATAGAATCATTAAGGTTGGAAAAGACCTTCAAGATCATCAAGTCCAATCTTTGACTGATCAGCACCTCGTTTAATTAGACCATGGCACTGAGTACCACATGCAGTTATTTCTTGAACACCTCCAGGGACAGTGATTCCACCACCTCCCTAGGAAGCCTATTCCAATGCCTGACCACCTTTTCAGTGAAGAGTTTTTTTGTGATGTCCAAGCAGCATAATCTAACATTACTTTTTCATAAGGGAACAATGTCTATGTGCACATGTATTGATGTATGGTGCAAATCCATGTTATATCTGATAAATAAAAAATAAGCTGTCCAAACATAGGGTTATTAGCACTGTATGTAATCTCAAGTGGGACAACAGTGAAATGAAGCTTCAGTTTGAAATAAGCACTTTGTAGTTTGTGAAAGGAGCTGATTCTACTAGTTGTACATAAATTCTTTTGATCTTTTTATTAATATGTCTTTTGATCTCAAGAACAGTCAAAGGATATTTTTGTGGCAAAAGGTCATACAAAATAATTAACTGCTTTTGCTATTAATTAAACATAAAAGCAGTGAGGGGTTTAATCACATTAGAGGTCATGAGTTCTCAGTATTTAACCAATCCACATGCTGAATGATTTCAAACAACTGCATGGTCAACTGAGAACAAACCCGAAAACACAGGCTTCAGTCAGTTGGTCAAAGTAAATGGATTACATTACTGTCAAATAGGCATGCCCCGGTCTTAGTGGTGTTACAGAATCAGCAACAATTTGAGCATGGAAGAATATATTTTCATTTGGAGAACTACTAGCCTGTCAGAATTTATAAGACATCTTTATATTTTAATGCATGTGTATTTAGCTGAGAACTGGAAGTGTCTGAAAACACATATGAAATGCACTGTCTCAGCTGTCATAGCTGCAGTTTTGCTTAGCTGAGATGGGGCAACAGATACACTCTTTTTAAAAAGCATGTGAAAACCATGAGCAGGAGCATCAAAATCTCATTTGAGCCTTCTTTTAATGTATTTCAGTTCTATATTTAATTAAAAATAAAAAATTTTGGTATCATAATTTTTCATTACTCACCACCAAGCTGTTTTCGAAACAGATTATAATGTGTTTGTGATGGCTCTATTTTTGTTGTAATTCTGATGGAACCAATATGGCTCAAGCAGTCCCTTTGAGCATAATCTGCAATTCTAAACAAATCATCTGATCCGGGATGTTCAGCGAGTTATGCAATGACATCTTTTTTTCTGTTCAGAAACAAAGCATTGTCATCGGAAAAAAAGGATCACATTTCAGTGTCTGATGCAATGAAAACCTTGTTCTAGAAAAGCAATATAAAAAGTTCGACATGATATGAGGAGAACAAGGAAACTAAAAAACTTGCTACCATTTATAGGCATCATACCATCACTTATGAATAGATATTTTATAGTGCTTTGTCATCACTTACATAAAATTAATGACAACCATTCCTTTCTATACAGTATGTCCTAAGAAAAGATAAAACCTTTCCTTCAAAGAATTTCACTGTTTGGAAATTAGTATTGAAATAGTCTCACTCCACTAGGTAAGAAAAATGATAAAAGTATGTTAGCAGGTAATCAGAATGATACTTAAAAATTAACGTGACAATATCATGGATAACATTCTGCATTTATTTTTCATCATTTATCTAAGAGTAACAAAACTGTTGTTGTTGTGAGACTTTCCTTGTATACAGCCACAGACATCTGAGAAGAATTAAAGTAAGAACACATAAAGAGTTTTCATTTAATTTAGTAATTTTTATTGTAGTTCCACAAGGTTTTCTTCATGAAGTTCGTAAAAAGGCAAAGAGGTAAACAGGTAATTGCTATGGTACAGCTGTTCTAGGATATAAAAAATAAAGGTTACACTTCTATACACAGAACTTTAACCAAACAACACGTGAGCAGTTCTTGCTAACTGCATTATACTATATAAAATTGAATGCATTAAAATATCCATATTATTGTGATTGAATCCTGAGACATTTTGATTAGCATTCCTCTGTGCAAGCATGAGGTGTCAGCTAAGTCATGGGTTACAATGTCCATTTCTTCCTGTTGACTCAGCTGGGTCAGGCATAAGTTTCAATGAAATGAGTTTCGTTTCCTGAACGTACTGACTTAATCACACTTCACACACTTGAAAGGCCAGTTGTCCACTTGAGACACAGTGGTTGTGCTATTGTTTCTGTCTAACCAGCTCAGAGCTTAAAGGAGACAAAGTAAGTTTTTTTTCTTGAGGTAGTTTGCATCTTGTTTCCCAAAGGAGCATTGCACCCAGCAATCCCAGTGGTGTTCTGGAAGAGATTTGTCCCAATACCTTTTGCTAAAAATGCTCTGCTTTGGGTGAAATTAAATTGTCTTTAGACTATGGGGAGCTTTAATATGGTGAAAGAGCTAATTACCAGGCAGGAAGATGAGGGCTCTGGTTTTGATTCCCTGGTCCAT